AAGGCCTGTGTGGGCTTCGGGGTGATGAGATGGGGTCTCCTCACACTGTGTGTGTGTGTGTGTGTGTGTGTGCGCGCACATACTCATGTCTAGGGAGTGATTCTCAGCCTATGTGTGTTGTAGTAAATTATCTTCATGTTTTCTGTCTCAGAGTATTCACACACACGCGTGACGAGTGATGGTCATGCTCTATGTGTACATGTGAATGTCTGTGCTTCATGGAAGATTCTCCTCACATGCCATGGACATACACACATGGACAGGTATGTTTTGTGGGCAGCGCTCAGGTGTTGTGTGTGAACATGTGTGTTCGACAGGAGATTCTCCACATGGTCTGTGTGTCTGTGACACGTGGGTTTGGTCAGCAGCTCTGCTCCTGTTGTGTGCGTGCGTATGAACACGTGACATGGATGACTGGGTCCCTTCAGGCTCTGCAGGCGACAGCACACGTGTGCATGCAGTTGTCACAGGGGTGTCTGGGGAGAGGGCCCCCACTCACGCTCTTGCCCACGTCATCCTTGCTGCTCAGCAGGGCCTCCAGCTCCGCCCGGAGGGCCCGGTTCTGCCGCTCCAGCTCCTCACGCGCTTCCTGCTCCTCCTCCAGCGCCCGAGTCAGCGACAGGGTCCGGGCCTCACGCTCCCGGCCCTCGGCCTCCACCCGCTCGCGCTCCTCCACCGCCCGCAGCACAGCGGCCTTCTCCTCTGCCAGGAGCTTGGGGGTTGCGGGAGACAGGGTGCGGGAAATAGATTAGCTGAAATGAGTGTACAAGGGGGTGGGGAATAGGGAGCAGCCAGGGACAGAGACAGACAGACAGACAGGCAGAGGCAGAGACACAAGAGGGAGGTAGAGGGATTAAGATGGCAAACTAGCTCCGCTCTTCAATGGGTCAAACTCATCAGCTGCTCACTGTGGACATGAACAGAGGAAAGGGCTTCTTCCTTTTCGGGAAATGATAGAAGAAAACATATACCTATATTTCAAAAATGTACTTGAACCTTTACTGTTTTCTTTGCAGGCACAGTGATTTAAAACAATAACATTTACAATAGAGGCAAAGCAAGGAAGAGGGTGGGCTCAGTCAAGAGAAAAATCAGTCCATGAAAATAGATCCACAGATGACCTTGATATCATCACACAAGGGCTATGATAAGTAAGTTTCAGGACAAGACGGATACAATGGATGAAGAGATGGTTATATCAGGAGGGACTAGAAATGGTGAAACAGAACCAATCAGAACTAAAAACAATTTCCAAACTCAAAATGTCCATGGAAGAAACGGAGGGTAGATTAGACACAGAAGAATTAGTGCACTTGAAAACAGGTCAGTAGAAATGATCCAAATAGAGTGAAGAAAAAAAAAAGTGTAAAAAAATTAACAGTCCTAGCTGGTTGGGCTCAGTGGATAGAGCATCAGCTTGCGGACTGAAGGGTCCTGGGTTCAATTCCAGTCAAGGGCACATGCCAGGGTTGCAGGCTCGATCCCCAGGAGGGGGCCTACAGGAGGCAGCCAATCAATGATTCTTTCTCATCATTGAAGTTTCCATCTTTCTCTCCTCCTTTCCTCTCTGAAATCAGTAAAAATATATTTTTAAAAAATTAACAGAGCTTTAATAACCCACAAGACAGCACCAGGCAGTCAAACATACATGTGTTTGGAACTGGAAGAAACCCAATGGGATCTAGAAAAAAAATCTACCAGCACTAATGAGCAAGTATAGCTAGATTGTAGGAAACAATATCAAAATATACAAAAATTGATTATATTTCTATACATTAGCAGTCAGAAATTGAAACAAAAACAATACCATTAAAATAGCATCAAAAATATAAAATGCTTAGAAATAAATCTGAAAAAAGATGTGAAAGATATACACTGAAAATTACAGAACATTCCTGAGCTAAATTAAAAATCTAAGCCCCCATTCCACTCTCCCCCCAAAAGAAGATCTAACCCGGCTAGCGTAGCTCAGTGGTTGAGCATTGACCTGGGAATCAGGAGATCATGGTTCCATTCCTGGTTGGGGCCCAGCTAGGGCACATGCCCTGGTTGCCAGCTTGATCCCCAGCAGGGGGCATGCAGGAGGCAGCAGACCAATGCTGATTCTCTCTTATCACTGATGTTTCTATCTCTCCCCTCCCTTTCTCTCTGAATTCAATAAAAATATTGAAAAAACGTCTAGGAAATATATTAATGGATTACATAGGCAGAATCTAGAAGTGGAGTGTGTTAAGGTTTTGCACTCATCTGCTCATTCATTTATTCACTTTAATTCTGATGCTAATATGTCCATGGCATTCAGTTATCCACATGGACACACAAAGACACAAACACATATATTATCGTTTTTGCTAAGAAGAGGTAATATTGTCAAATTCCAACGATAAAGAGAACAAACTGAAACCAGCTAGAAAAACATATCACGTGACCCTCATGATTTCAATGTCTGCTAACTTTTCATTTGAGACGATGGAAGCCAGAGATCATGGAATGATCTCTCCCAAGTGCTGAAAGAACAAAACTGTTTACCTAGAATTCTCTATCCAGCGAAAATAGCTTTCAAAAGTGAAGGCACAATAATGATGCCTCCATTTTCTAGATGAGAAAAAACACCAGGCTCAGAGAGGGTGGTGCAGTTTGCCCAGCCACACAGCCTGGAAGGGACTGAGCTGAGATCCAAAACTCCAGGCTGGCTGATCTTAATGCGCTGGGGTTGTACGATCTTTGTTTCATCTTCAGATCGCCCGATGCTTGTTATTATCCCCATTTCCTAGATGGACACACTGAGGCTGAAACGGGCAAAGCTGCTTGCCCAAGGCACACGGAGAGCCAGCAGGAGCAGTGAGATGTATTTCATTTAACTCTCGCCAGCACCCTTTGGTGCACCTTCAGGACATGTTTGGGAGGCAAAAGAGGT